TTATTTAGTTTATTTTGGTTTCATGTGAAAATCGCGTGTAACTTGTTTTTCTGAGGGCACTCGTCAAAATGAGGGGTAACCTTTAAAGCAAAGAGAGAAACTGGATTTCCCACGGTAACGTGAACACGTAATATAATGGCAAACATGGTAAACTTTCGTTATTGATAGAAACAATACTAATTTCAGCAGTTTCTCGGGTAAAAGGAAAGAATCTATCCAAAAACGTCAGTTACTCCCATTCAAAGTTTCTAGTTTGCAGGAATCAGTATTCTTCTCCCCCAAATAATTACAGTCAAGAATATCCTAACTTTTAAGAATTATCTTCAACCGACAGATACTCGTACTAATTTCGATTCCGCGTATGGGCAGAATTCAAGACAGAATCTGCTTTCAGTGGACAAGTTCCATTATCTAAATGTACCCCGAATTGACATAATTACACGATATGACGACTTTGAATGCATCTTAAAATGTCTTGATCATCCGCTCTGCGTTTCTGTGAACGTTGCCGCCGAAGGAAAAAAGTGGTGTGAGTTACTGTCCACCAACAAGTTTAACGACCCCGAAAAACTCAAAGAAAGCAAGAGTTGGCATCACTATTCGTCTTTTAAGGTAAGGATCTTTCGCTATCATTAAACAGCATTTCAACATTAAACGACTTAAAAATAACTGCTGTAAGTGATGTTTCTTTTTCCTTTTTCCTTTAAAGTTTCCTTGTTCTTCCAATCCATGCCAAAACGGAGGAGCTTGCGTTGTCGCCAAACACAAACTGGAGATGTTCGAGTGCATCTGTAAGAGCGGTTACTCTGGAGAATTTTGTGAAAAAAGTAAGTTTAAATTATTAAATTTGATGCAAGATTCGCCATTGCGCTGCATGTCTGTAAAGTATCTGCAGATTTTCCTTGAGTTTATTTTATGGTTAAAACAGCCTTTACAGAATTGTATCCATGTATTTTTCCCCACTCCTGGGCATAGTTCATCTGATGGTACAAAATAAAAAAACAAACAAACAAACAAAAAAACCGGTAACTTACCAAATATCCTATAGCAAGATTCATTCCCCTCTTTTTTGTATTTTGTAGTATTTCCAGCCGTTCAGCTTCAGAACTGCTCTCAAGCTCCCAAGAAAACTGGGATTTACAACATTTTGAACCACGGATCAGGGCCTTTCCCTGTCTACTGCGACCAGACAACGGACGGTGGAGGTGTGTGTCACACTGATCATGAATTAGATACTTCAGTGGTTTTCGTAGAAGTCGTTGTTTTGAGGTAGTGAGGCGACTTCGTCACGAAAACCTTCGGATTTAAGATATTGTAGTTCCTAGGTGATGACTTTCCGTCCCTTTCCCACTGTCTCACTAATAGTCAATGTTGATACCTAAACAGTCATTACAAGATAAATCAGCGCATTGGAGACAGTCTCGCCACCAAAAATCTGAAGTTTACCGCAAGAAGGTTTTTAAGCACCAAATGGTTCAACGCAATAAATCGCTTTATTTGCTGCGCGCCCGGTTTTTTCCTATTCCTATTCAAAATTGCCCGACATAGACTTCATCCTGTTCTTTCTGTCCTTTGCGTCACTTGGCAGCAAACTTTAGTGTCAAAAGAAAACAGTCACAATGTAATATCCAGTTATTGAGGCGGAAAAAACAAGAGAATGTTATGAAGCAGGCAGTTTTTAGTATTTAGGACTGTTTCAGTCTGAAACTGTTTCTAAATGAAAAACTTTCATGTTTTTACTTTTACATAAATTTTAAGACCATTAAAGGGTAAGCTGGAAAAAATTAACATAAGGCAAAAGCGGTTAGAAAATAAATTAAAAACGCGTTTAAATCGCGGTTTCATGGAGATAATTCAAAATTGGAAAATTTGGATTGCAAGAAGCTTACAATTTCTAAAAACCACTGTTTTTGGTTCATTTAATCAAGGTTGGATGATGATATTCAAAGTTATTGGTGGAATAAATTCTTCATTTTCTGCTGGGGAGTTCTGGAATTCATCCGACACATTTTCAGAAAATGTTACCGCTGTCCTAGATACCACTTCAACCTACCGAGGAAACTACAAAAACCGTATTGTTCAAAGTTGGCAAATGTTCAGTCCTAAAGAGGTAAATACTGCTTGACACGCTTTGCTGACCTAACGGGTTACATCTTCCAAGATAGGGTGTGAGATAATTATAGAAAACTCAACACAGCGGTTGGCCAAGTGTGAGGCATGCGTAGATAGATGATGTATGACCGGCCGCGCGCCAATTTCCCGCTCAACAGCAATCTGCAAAAGGAAGTAAAGTAAAGAAAAGGAAACTTTAAGACTTTTTAAAACATAGGGGGATGTTTGAATTCGGGTATTCCGTTGATTTAGTTTTGTTTGGTGCTTTACCAAAGCTGTTATACACCTTCACGGTTTGAACCCTTTAACCCCTGAGAGTGACTAGCATCTAATTTCTCCATAGAAAATCACTCCACAATGGCACATTAAGGTCATGAGAATAAAAGAAATGATCATCAACTAAAGAAGCTCTTGATTTTTAAACAAATTCTCCTTGTTAGCACCTTTGGAAATGTAGAGTGAACAGTATGGAGAATATGCATACTGATGTTAGGGTGTAAAAGGGTTTAGTATCGTAGCCTAGAGGTTTTTGTGATTTTTTTAGCCTGAATTAACTACATCTGTGTTGGGCCGCCTCTTAAGACTCTTTTTAACATCGTCTCAATTCCTGCACACGTGGAAACATTTTATACTTGTGGTTAACTAAACCCAGAATTTCGTTTAGTGATCGTGACAGG